AAGAAAACTAGTTTATTTTTAGTGACATTATCCTGTGTCCACAAGACTAGGCTTTTAGCTAACTTGCTTTAGATTTCAGATTTTTCGTTGAGAATGAGATTTTTCTGTTAACAGTCTTAATTTTTTAAACTAGTGTATATCTTTCATTAAAAACTCCAAGTGATTAATCATCCTCGGGCTGTATGTTTTGAGACCTTACTCAACCATTTTCAATTTACTGTAGCACCCATATGGGAGCTTGGGGCCTCTCTCAGCCAGATGAAACAATTCTAATTACACTGACTTGAGCCAGCAGAGGAGCTGGCTAATGCCAGCCAACATACTTAGGAGGAGAATCAACTTGAAAGACGTGTGTAACATCAATTTAATGTGTCACAGGACATGAAATTGAGGCCATGATAAAGAAGAAATCTGCTGATGTCTGTGTGAGCACAGCCTGTTGTGTAAAGCACAGAAGAGCCATCCCCTGTGACTCTGACACAGAAAAAGCCACTGGACATGGGTGAGAACAGCCACAGCAAGGTGCACACTCATTCCCTGTCACACCTGCATGTTCATTCTGGTCATCCCGGGTGAGGGAGAGCTGGGAGGAACAGGCTTTGAGAGATGGGAGGTTTAGTTTGCTCTGACAGTGAGCTTCAGAGGAAGGTTTCTCACATTTAAATAGGATGCCCCAAGAGCACTTAAAGAAATATGAATAAAAAGAGAAAATATACCAGAAACAATGGAAACACAAACATTGCCAGGCACTGCAAGTCAGCTCTGTCACTGAGGATGAGAACTGCCACCCACAGACCCATCCACATCGAGCCAACCTGCCTAATTTGATCAGAGAAATTCTTGTGGTTGGATTCCTTTAGTAAGACTATGCACAAAGAGGTCCTGGAGCAATTTATACCATTTTAACAGCATAAATGTGCTCTTATCTGAATCATAGAGGGTCTGCTGTTACACAGCAAATCAAGTGTGCCCCGTGTCATCATTTGGCCAGTTTCTCATGACCCAGGAGGCACATCTGTCTGCATCACCCAGGAAATGTCCTGCCTGGCCCCGGCCAGCTGCTTGGCATGGGCCATGTGAGGGCATCACTGCAGCACGAGTTATTGAGCATCCCAGCTGAGAGCTCCTGAGCAGCACACCACAGCCCAGATTTCTGCTTCTCCCTAGCCAAGCTCCTTCAGCTGTTCAGAACAGACCTGCAGGGCTGGGCTGTTCCATACAAACGCCTCCTCACCGGAGTGCCACGGGTTGCAAGCGGGAATGAAGAACCACTGGGCTGGTGGACAAGCCTGCCAGCATCCCTGCCTGATGGCTTGTCAGATGAGAGGGGAGATGAAAAACTGCAGGAGAACATAAGACATGAAAATGTGCTTCAGATTGACAATGAACAATGATTGCAGGTACTGTTAAACCTATTCTGTAGCTACATAAAGTGACCAGCTTATACATTGCTGGCTTACATACCATCTGCTTTTTTTTTTCCTCATTATCCAAAAAGAAAACAAACTCAAGGCCTCTTTGCTGTTTACCCTCTAATTTTATTAAAGAGTAATACCCCTTATCATGTATTTGGCTGTAACAGGTTTGTATTTTCCAGAAAATTTCCAGCAGAATTCCTTGAACTGATTGTAAGAACTGTTATCAATCAACTGATTTTAAATAGTGATGCACACATAGCCTTGGCAAAGGGTTTGAGACCTACATTTCATTTTTCTCGAAAAATAAATATATAAAGTAAAATTCTCTCCTTGTACCCTTGACCTCTCCCAGCTGCCAGTAATGAACATTCAAGGGCAGTAAAGGATTTATCCTCTGCTACCCACTCTTCAAAAGTGTCAGTCAGTGAATGCTAGGGTTAGGCTGTGGTAATGAATTGAATTTAGGCAGTTCCAATGTAGACCATATAGATTCTATCCACCTTCTACTCTCTGCCTGGAACATCTACATACTTTATTACAGCCCAGCTAGGCGTAACTCCCAAGTGCCAGCCTGAGCCCAGAAGCAAAACAGGACAGAGCACTTAGTGAAACAGGCTGCTGGGAGGTTCCTCAGCTTTATGTGATCTCAGAAGTGACCTAAGAAGGAAGGAGCTTAAAGAGTCTGCCCAAATGGATCCTTCCTGGAAACAGCAGCTGAGGCAGACTCAAACAGTGCTTCTTTTCTCTGCTCTGTGTAATGAATAGGATAAAAAAGGAAGCCAGAAAGATTTCTGACATGATTCTTTTCTGATTTTGTTTTTTTTCCTGAAACTTCTGTCACTTTTGATAGCTTTTCAGTTGCCCAAAGTAGATGTGACTTAGCTTGATGTTATAATATTAGTACTGTCTGCTGTGTAACATGAAACACTAAAGATATCATCCAAAGATAAGGTAATTATAGGGAGTATTTATATTTGAAGAGTCAATCCTTAAGGTTTCAGGGCTAATTAATTCCTGATAAGAAACTTCTGAGTGAGAAAGCTTAAGGTAGCACTAGCAGGGAACACCAAATTTACTTGAGAGAGCAAACAGAATTTGTCTGGCATGTTGGTATGTGAAATCCCACAAGGCTGGATTATGTCTTTCCTTCCTTTATCCCAAATTTTGAACAGGCCCAGTGACACCAGACCAGTTTGTTGTCCTGAGCTAGCTCACACCTGGAGCTGTCTCACCATTCTGTTCCTGGGTTTACCAAGCACTGAAGCCCAGCATCTTCTCAGAATCAGAGATCTGAAGTTCAGGAATTAATTTGTTAGCAAACATCTTCATCCCCTTGGTCAGCTCAGACAAAAAGACGTTCAGTTCCAAGTAAACTCAGGCCTCCATATGGCTTTAAGCTTGGAACTTTGCAGAGGAAAGCAGCTCTGAAATATTTGTGTGCAGACTGACAGCTTGTGTCCCAGGCTCTGGGACAGAAATCACCAACAGAGCTCCCAGAGTTCAGAGTGGAAATGCTGTTCTGCATGAAACTGCACACAGAGACCAGGCACTTCTCATCTGGCACAGGGAAGATCTGATGATTTTTTTTTTCTCAGCTTTTTTTTGTGGTTTGTTTGTTTGTGGGTTTTTGTTTTGGGTTTTGGTGGTTGTTTTTTTTTTTTTTTTAAAGGCCATATTTCAATCACACTCAGCCGTTTTCCCTCAAGTTAAAACCCAACTGTTAATTGTAGGTGTTTCATCTTGGTGAGGTTCTGAAGCTGAAACCAGCTTCAGTGGAAATCCCACACAGCACACAAAGACTCTGCTGCAGTCTGTCATTTATCGCCTGAATGGAAAGAGTAACAGCCCAACACAAATATTTGGACTTCTCTTTGTTCCTGGCAGGACCCTTGAAGCACACACACACATGAGCAGATTGAGTTTGGTTTTGTGAAGATGGGAGAAGCAAAAGAGAGACAGAGCTGGGTGTGAGCCAAACCAGCACAAGAGAGGCAGAGGCTGCTCCCAGGGCTGTGCCCAGGTGTGCAGGGCTGGAGCAGCAGCACAGGGAATTTTATCACAGCAGGATAAGTGGATTCCTGGAGCCTTATCGAGGTGTACATCAAGGATGGTTGTTGATTATTAAGAACAGCACAGGGTGGAATCTCCCACGGGTAAATCCTCTGTCTGTGGGACTGTGAGCAGAACTGAACCAACCATCTTTTGCTCCAGATCTGAGCAAAAATCTAGACCTGGACCTTCTTCAAAACTGCTCCAGCCTTGTTACATCCCACTTGACCAGAGCAAACCTTTAACCAGACAAACAGCACCTTCAAAACAACAGCATTTTCCTGTCCTTGTCTCAGAGTAAGGGCAGGACCACTGGAAAGCTCAGCAATTCTGGCTGCACAGCCATAGGTATGATGTCCTACCACTCTCACATCTGCTGCAAGTTCAAATACACAGCTGTGGTAGGGCCAGCTTCTCTTTGGAAGCAGTAGCAGAGTGCTCACCTTGTGTTTGGTGCTCTGGATACTCATGCAAGGTGTTGCCCCACCCTCAAAAAGCACAGGAGGAGATCAGAGCCCTCCACCGCCAGCAGAGCAGGAGGCCACAAGGAGACCTGGTTTCACTGATAACAACAGCACCATTTACACAGCCCGTGGAAAAACAAACGGTCTGTTGGTTGATATGCCTGATTCCTTGGCTCATGGCCCAAGGAGGGAAGCTTGGGAGCACTGAGGAAAGGATTCAGAACACAGGCCTTGAGTCAAACACCCACCACAGAAGTTTGTGAGCAGGGACCTCTACTTGCACCAGGACTGAGCTGAGGAGCTCCTATAAAGCACTGTCTTCCCAGCTGGCTGCTGCTCTATTTTCCTTCCTGGTGCTGGATTTCACCAGCAATCACAAGGGGCTGCTTGTCTCCAGTTTGGAATATGAGACCTTAGTGACATAACTTGTAATCCATATAAAAGGCAAGATTAGAATTAACGTTTAATATTTCTCCTACTGTTCACCCTGTCCTAATCCAGCATTGTTTTCCAAATACTAAACAATGCTAACTACTGCATTCAGGCCTTTCTTCTGATATTAAAACAAAAATTAATCTGCTCTGCAATCGTGGCTTCAAGAAGCAAGAAGTGAAGGAAAAAGTCCAATAGCAACACTCTCTTTGCTGTTCTGTGCATAGCAATTGGCTTAACCAGACACAGCAGCTACATGAACTGTTCTGCTGCAGTGCTGGGAACACCCAAAATATCTGTCTTCAGAAGTTCAGTGCTATGTTGGGTATTCCTGATCCATGTTAGAATTATTCCTTAACATTTACCTTAGCTCTTCACATCCCTCTGTGCCAGCATGCTTCAGAGCTGGGTTCAGGCAAGGTGACTGCAGGCAGAGAACAATGCAGCACTTTCTCTTGGCAATCTTCCACTCAGGTACAGCCCCGGAGCTCCCCTGGGCACACCTGCCTGGCCCAGCCCAAACAAACCTGAGACAGCGTGGGCAGGAGCACGCTCAGCTCTGCCTGTCAGTGCAGCCTGCTGGCAGCTCTCTGCTGGTTCACCCACAGAGACACGGACAAGCAAGTGGGGAGCAGAGTGGAAGAAAAACTCAACACTTGTTTTGCAAGGCTCGGGATAGCATTAGAGCCCTTCCCATGCTTTGGGAGCAAAGCAGCAGGGATGCTTCTTCAGAGCTGGTTCAGCAGCTCCTGCAGGTGTTGGTCAAGCCCGTTTCTCTTGGCAGCCTCCTATAAGGACCAAAGAAAACAGGAATTACTGAAGGATCAGCATCTCTTGGCAAGTGTTTCCCAAGTCAGCCTGTACCAGTCTTCAGACACCCATGGAAGGAGAGACATTACCCAAATGGCTTTGCTCAGGGTCTGCACAGGTGCCAGCTCACCCAACTGCTGCCACCTCGTCCTGCCCATGCCAAAGGCTCTGTAGGAGAGGGCAGAGCACAAAGTTCTGCACTGATGGTAACATGGAGGGAAGGACACCTGCACCAGCTCCCAGCAGGGTGGACACCAGCAAATAAGCAGACAGATGGCCTTTGGCAGCATGTTAAAAAGCATTTCCTAATGAGAAGCAGCTCCTGCTGTGGGTGCTGGAGCAGCACTGGGACCTTCCATCCCCCTCTGCACCAAACACTGACACCAGGTCTGCTGCACATCTCAGCAGGGCAGTGACAGATGAGTTGCTGTGGCAGAGCCCAAATTCTTCCATCACGTCACTGCTACCTTGTGTGACCCAGGGGGTATGAATAGCAGCTCCACTACATCTCCTGCCAGAATGAAACTATTTAGAGACAGGTTCCAAGGGCAGCCATGAGCTTGCTTCCCTGGCAGGCTCACTGGGCAAAGAACTTTGAGAGGTAGGGCCCATCTATACCCCTGAAGGAGGTGAAGGCCAGTAGGGACATGACTTCATTCCTATAAATGCAAGAGGTGCCAGATGTTTGGAATGTGCTTTGTAGAACAGGATTAGCATGGGTCCTGCAAAGCTCTACTCACCCAAGCATGGATTTTGCTTAGAGGGTTTCTAATCCCACTTGTTTATCCTGGTTGTGCATGATAATGAAGGTGTTCCTGAGCCAAGAGAGATGAAGGAAGGCATTCCTCATGAGCTACTCCCTCTCTACCTGCAGAGGACTCAACAGCCTACACAAGGCATTTTTTTTTTTGAGAGGGTTGGGGCTAGGCTTAGGCTTGAGAGAGTCTAAGAGCCCCAGTGCCAGGAGCATTGGCACTGGGAAAGCCATGCCAAGGCCATCCCAGTGGGGGTCCAGCATTGCTGCTCCTCCTTTCTGCTCTGAACCACCACCACTGGTGATGGGCTTAGCCTGAGGACAGTCTCTGGGTTGAGGTGAGACTGCTGTGAGTGTTGCTTGAGCGATCCAGGGAATGTGGAGCTGGGAATTCCAGGCAATGGTCGAACCAATGCCTTAGGTCTGTTTAGTTTGTGCCTGTGAGAACTGGGATTTGGGCTGGAAAGGTGTTGTTGGGAACAAAGGATGGAGTAAATCTGTGCAGTGAAGGACTGAGGAGCAGGGAAAGGGAATATTTATGAACTATATTAATATTTCACCCAAATAGGGAGGGCAGTGATGTCCATTAGAACTGCTTCAGTTATGGGTCAGAGAGAAAGAAGGGAAACTACTTTTTATTTTCTTGCCATTTTTTCCAGACAGAAATGGGACATCATCTTGCCCCTCCCCAAAGCTCTCCAGGCACATGGTAGTAGCTCAGTGCAGGCCCAGTTCTCTGAGAGACAACAACATTTGAGAGGTTTAAGTGTTACTATCAACTCTAATGTCTCTTGATTGCAAAGATTCAGTCCTACAGACCCAGACTGATAAGACAAAAAAGGAATTTCTACATATGGGGTTTATCCAAAGAAACACTTCAGCTTCCCTGCTTTCAGAGCCCAGCTCCAGGCTGCAGTTTCTTGTTCTGTGCATGTGTTTGCAGTTGCTGAGCACCAGCACCCCTCGCAAAGGGCTCATTTCTGCTGTGAGTCACCAGGTGCCACCAGCGAGTCATTTCACTCACTGCTCATGTGCCCGCCGCTCGGATTCCACCCACAGAATTCAACACATCCCAAGATTGCTCCCTGACAAAAGCTGCCAGGACAGAGAGGACCTGGGGACCTTCACCTCCCCAGGCCAGCCTGTCACCTGCACCTGAGACCCTGGGGCTACGTGCTTTCCTTCCTATGGAAAAGAGCTCTCAGTGCTGCCATTATTTCTCTGGATCCTATTGCCGGAATTTTGATTCCACCTCCAAAATTGCATATATCCAAGGACTGCTCCCACACAAGAGATGTGGTGCTGGGGAAGAGATAGAAGTGCCCTGAAATGGAGGGGAAGTCTCTGATTTAAGCCCTTAAAATGATGAAGAAGGGTGAGTTTCCTTCAATTTAGCCCCTTAAAATGAGGGAAAAGGAGGGGTCTACCTTCACTTAAATCAGCCCTCATGCTGTCACATACAGTGCTTCCTCAATATCTCATTATCTTCTGAACAAAACTGTACTGTCAGCATGTATTCTTTATCATTCTTCTAAGTGATAACAGGTTGTAGTTCCTCCAGCAAAATTAAAGCATAGAACTTCTGCCAATGACCCCATGGCCTTGAGCTTTGAAGCAGAAATGCTTGTAAAACAATAAACATCTACCCCCCCCTTTCAGAAAAACTTGACTGTTAATGTGAGGGAGTTGCAGTGACTATCTCCCCTTCTATCTTTTCCTGGATTGGAGATGACCTCTGAAATGGAGCATTTCATTCAATTTGTTTTGCTTCAGTAATTTACAACAAACCTTTGAACAGCAAGAATCTTGTTTATTTCTGGACACTCATTTCCATTAAAGGTTTTTCCCAGCCTAGCATGAGGACTACCACAATCAGCTATCCTGAATCATCTGGACAAAATATGAAATTCATTGGTTTAAATGTTTCCTTCTTCATTCTTTCCACTCTCACTGCTTTTTGGAATGCAGGTAAGTGATTTTCAAACATTTTGCTGCTTTTAACTGCAAACTTTTTTGACTTCTCTACTTCAGAATACACATCTTGGTAAGAAATTGTTGATACCATCTTTACAAGCTCAAGCAAAGGCACACAGGCTAGCTTTTACCTGCATGGTTTCATTTTCATTCCCTTCCTCTATAATTTCCAACAGGTCAGTGGATCTCTTCTGTAAGCAAACAGACAATCTGTAGCTTCCCACACTGAACAAGTGTTTTTCCTTCCCTTCTTTGCATTTTCTTGTGCTTGTTCTTTCGCCCACCTTGATCCCTGCCTTTCATTTTGCTTCTGTCCTCCCAAATAATCAATACTCCCTTAGTTACTTTTTCATAATTGTTTCCAGTTTTGCAAGATCCTTGTCCAAATTTAGAATTTCTGATACTTCTTAGATCATCTCAGCATTGCGTGGTATTCTTGATATAGTTCCCAAGCAGTGTTACCCTTGCAAGATTCCACTTCCCAACAGGTCCTCAGTGCTCCCTGCTCTCTCTTCATCTCACTTAATTCCCCCTTAACTGTTTGTGAAATCCAGCTATTCTTGACAGTGTTACTGTAATGTCTGTCTTTTTTTCACTGTTTTATTTGTTGGGTAGTTTCCCATGTGATATCCAGTAATTACTGACAGTCTGTAAGCCACGAGCCTACCCACCCTGTCTGTGTACCCAGGGCTGCTAACATCTTCATGGTTAAGGACAGACTCAAATTAAATGCACAAAACAAAGACATTTCAGTAGCTCGTAATAAACTTGTGTTGGAGCCCATTTCACTGCTGATGTTAAGTTTCCAAGGGCACTTGCCTTCTGTTCTTACTGATTCCCATGTAGGGTTAATGGTGAGGGACCCCTGTTCTGGTATGTTTAAGACTTATTCTCAAAAATAAATCTAATCAGTGACACCCACTGAGGGGCTGCTCTGGAGATTTATCTGTCTATTACATGTAAAAATACCCATGGAATTAATGAAATTATATACTGTCTTGGAGGTAAATAAGTATATTTTGCCATTCAAAAATGGAGCAACCTTAATATGCAGGTGATTACAACCTTTACCAAAATACATTCCTAAACTAACATACCCAGACTATTTTCTTACAGCAGTCCTTTGGATGATGTACTTGTGCTTCAGAGAACATCTAGAAGAGTTTAATAACATTCCTGACTGTTTTTTTCTTCCTTTAACAAGGAGCTCAAGACTCTTGTGCACACCAATGTGGGGAGCTGCTTGGTACCTGTTCTTGCCAGGTGACATGCCAGTCCTTGGGGATATGCTGTCCTGATTATAAAGAATTTTGTCTTCAAATTTCTCCATACTCAGGATCTCTTTTGGGAGGCAAAGACTTTTTGATTAACAACACAGCATTTGATGCCTCTTCTGTGGTAAAATGCAGGTGGGCCATGATTTTATATTCCTCTGCCAAAGGGAGGCACAACTTTATAATCTCACTCTCCAAAAATAGGCAATTAGCACAAAACAAGACCAGTCTATACAGGAGTGAAAACTTTGTAAAGTTGTTAGAATCCTGAAACATACAAAAGTTCTGATCACTCTCATCCTCAAAGATACCTGTTGGCTGTATTTCTACACAGGATTGTTTCTTTTAGGTGGAGTTATTGTGTGGCACAATCCTGACTCTGCTCATTCTTCCCTTAACATATTAAAATAGTGACTTTTTGAAAAGAGTTTCCTTTCAGGGCACTTGATTGTCAGTATTTCTTTAGCATTTCCCTTTGTGGGAAAGAAGTATTTATTTCTTAATCTGAATGAGAAAAAAGCAAGACAGAAATGTAGGTAGGATACCTGATGTTTTTCCTGTAAGAGAATGCTGTGGATCCTAAATGTGTCAGCCTGCATCACACCTAGGTGCACGTGGCACATGCAATACATACAGTACACTGAATTTTGATGACCCAGATGTTGTGCTATTATTTCCACAGGAGGTTCTGAGTGAAATTTTGGATTCCTTCTCATCTGGCTAGCAGTACCTGAAAAGGTTTTCAATTCTTTATTTGGAAAACCTTTGACCAAGGCATTCATTCTGTAAAACACAACTTTGGACTTCAAAGTACCTGCAGAGTTACATAATTCTAGCCAAAGCAAATTCCAGTGTAGACAAGCAAAGGTATTATTTCCTGGCAGGCCCCAGCTCCCTCTGATACTTGGAGTGGAGATGCAGTCCCCATATATCACTCTTGAAGAGTCACAGGTGGGGTTATACCCTAGGACTCTGGGCAAGAGCCCCAACTGGATTCAAATGGTTAAATAACAAGCAGTGCCTTCTGAGTTAACCTTTGCAATAGAAATTCTAGAACAGCAAGAAATCACTTTCGTTGCCCTCATTGGACTTAAGAGGAAAAAAAAAAAACCCAGAAATTTGCAATAACTGTATCATGGTCATTGTTAGCCACCCTGTAATCCTACTAATGCTATAACGTTATCTTCCTCTTCCTGTTGCCCCTTTGTTGCTAATTTGTCTTGTCTCCCTCCCCCAGCAATTAAATAGGAAATTGAAGGTTTGTGGATTGCTGTATATTTGTGCAGTTCACAGAATTCACATTGATGTAATGAGCAGATTTTTCCAGTTTGTATTCCCTGCTACAAGCAAAATAGGCCCAGACTTGAAAAGATCCACACATGACCCAAGATTGTATTTGAAGCACATTCAAAATTTTCCTTCTATCTATGGTGACACTGAAAAGTGTTTTCAACATCTACAGGTTCAAGAAGAAAATCATAACCAGTGGCTATATTGACAAGGATGGAAAAGCCCACTGCATCTCCCCATTGCTTTATGAGACTGGTTTCATCCCTTTTGAAGTTTCTACAGATGATGGGTTAACATTTCCCTACTCTGGAACTTGGTTATCAGGTTACTTATATCTACAGCATCCTCTTCTCCCTGTATTCTTCCTCCATGCATGCAAGATTGTATGTCTTTTCTTATTGATCAGTTTTATTCTTCCTTATCAGGCCTCAGAAAAGAAAGTCTCACTGGCCTCATGTTAATTTATCTTTTGAGAGATGAATTTTCACAGCAATTGAGTAGCAGCAGCTGCATTAACTGATAAAAAATCCTGCTTAAAAATGATGACCAAAATCCTGCTTAAAAATGTTCACCAAAACAGTTCCCACTTCATCCCTACTTCTATCCCTTTTTGTCCCCTCTTCAAATAATTGCATTGTGGTTTTGCAATCTAAGGACTGCAAGTATTAGTAAGGGTTGCGTTTTCTCAGCTTCAGCTTATTCTTTTCATGTCATGCATCCTGTGCTGTGTAAAATATACCCAGGGGAAATCCTGCTAAATCTTAAATAGTATAGTAGCACTTTTTCAAGACTATGCAAAGCCAAAATGTCATTAGCCCTCTTTTTCTGCTCTGCAATGCAGTACATCACAGCAAAGTTTCAGGTGAAGAAAAATGCACATTGGTAAATGAGACAAAATGGCAATACTATGGCACCCCCAACACTGGTGGAAACTTAACGCTTACCTGGACACACCAGACACTTGCAGCCACCCAGGTCAATATAGAAGTCTGGGGATACCAGGAAACAGGTAAAGTGACCCTTTTCCTACAAGAATTTATCACACACTTAACCTCTGTGCAGAGCTCTGCACAGCTTATGATCACTTTCACTGAGACCTGCAAGTGTAAATAACTGATGACAACAATGTCAGCTTTTCCTCTTTATTTACATATGGGTGCAGACATCTAATTTCAATCTTGTGGCAATTGTTCTTTTCCAGCATGCAAAACCCTTTTCTTCCTCTATCTGGCAGGTGACAGTTATTCAGAAAACTGGATGGCTGAATGGAAATACCTTTATACTTTGGCAAGAGAAATCCCCAATACAGGGAAATATTCTTTCATTCCTGTACCTGCCAAAGGAAATTACAGTACATGGGACTATGGAATTTTGAGAATTATACCCAACAACTATTCTGATGGGCAGAGGCAAGTGCATCACAACTAATTATAATAATATCTACCTTATAAGCTGTTGTCTCCTTTTACATTTCAAAACTGAGACTCAGGCGCCATTTCATGTGAAAAGACGGGGAGAAAACTGGAAGGTCAAAAGTGAGAAAAGCTTTTGACATAAAGACAGTTTACTAAGTAAAGAGGAGCATGGAGGAAGGATCATGAAGTCTCCCACTAGCAGACTGATGCACAGTTAGTCACCCAGTAAGGGCTGCTTTGGAAAAACACCCCTGCAGTTGTACTGATGAACACGCTGTTCTAGGGCATGGGATATCCTCTGGTCACTTTGGGTTGGCTGTCACAGCTGTGCTCCCTCCTGACCTTCTCCCTGGGGCCAGCATGAGACACAGAGAAGATTTTGACAGCAGGAGATAAAACACTGGTGTGTTATCAGCACTCTTTTGGTCACAAATCTAAAACGTGGCTGCTATGAAGAAAATTACTCCAGCCAAACTCATGCTCTCACCAGACTAGGATCTGCTGATTCTTTTGTTTAGTCACAACTGTGGAGGAGTCCCTAAATGTGGAATTCAGTCACTGCAGCCACAGGCCTTCCTCTTCTATTTTGTATGCAGGCTTTTGCATTCCTTCAAATTTTATGCCCATTTTCTTTTATTTCATTGCATATTTCCCCATGATTTTTGGTGAACTACCCGTGTAAGTGGTCCATGGATATTCCTTCATAATTCTTCCATATCTGCAGATTTGATGTAGATGGTGTAGACTCTGTGAGTATATTAATGCCACCTCTTCAGTGTTACAACATATTGCTAATGTGTCATCACCTTTTGAACATTTAGGAGTTGCTACGCAGAAAAGGATAACCTTTTCTAGAGGCGTTTTTATTACACTTTGTATATGATATTTTTTTTCATGGGGAAAAGCAGAGTGGCTTTGGAACATTTCAAGGATTCTGAATGGTTTCTGTAGCCATTAGTCCTGATATTACTGGGGTGTAGTTGTTGAGTTTAGTTAAAGAATTCAAATATTCTTCATTCTGGCCTAAATAAAATTACAATGTCGAAAGGCATGAATACAAAACCTTCCTCTAAAAGGATCTATGTAAGCCAGAATCATGATTACTAAAATAAATTCTGATTATTGCATACTTGCTTCATGCTTTCCTGTCACCTCCTGAATTTGGAAAATTTGATATGCCATAACTTTTTGAAGGAAAAAGAAAGCAGTGGGCTTTGCAGTGAAATAACTTGAAAGTCAAAAGATGTTTTTAATTATAATTAGCAATTGAGCCACAGTGCTACTGTCAAAATAGCGCTTGTTCAGCCATGAGATCTATTTTTTGGGTTTTCTTCCAGCAACATTCCATCCATCTGGAGCTCAGACCATGCACTGGCTTGGCACCTTGAGAAAGACTTCAGAAATGACCCAAATGCATGGGCAACTGCAAAATGTATTGAATGGGACAGAAAGGAAGAGTTGCTGCCAAACTTCATGGAAGAAATTATAGACTGCCCTTGCACCTTGGCACAGGCAAGAGCTGACACTGGCAGGTTCCATGTAAGTTATTAATTGATCCCTCTGGCTTATTACAATTCCAGGTGGAAGCTTAAGGAGTGCCAAACTCCACACACACCTCTGTTTGCTCTCTAAATGACATTACATGGAAATTAAGTTACTTTTAGATTTGCCCAAGTAGCATATCAAATGGCAGAAGTAAATACAGCTTATCTCGGTAGTATGAATAAAAGTGCCTATAGAATAGGAGATGGAAATGACATTCAAACAAAGAATCAAAACAGTAGTTCTAATAGCAGACTGAAAACACTCTGTGGAGTTGGGAGCAGCGATGACTTCTTTGAGATCCTACAAGATGACAGTCTGTGTTTGAAGGTGATATCCCATGCTGTGACAAACTATTTCTGCCTAGTTTATCATACTTTGCTGCAAACCCTTCTGCCTTGTACTTCAGAGCTCAAGCCCAGAGCTGTAATCCATTATTTCCTTTATCCTGCTTCCTTCCTCCTTCTCAGCTTCAGTGTTATCAAGGAACTGACTAAAGCTGAGAAATCATTTGTCATTCAGTCTATACTTTCACTTACACTG